GTCTCTTGCTATTCTGATTCTGTTTGATGATTTTGGGACTGCTGTTTTGTTGAAGGTGTCTACCAACGCCCGCCTGTAGGAGGGCATACATGCCCGACCTGAGGGCAGTGCCGAGAGAGCGCTGCTTCCTTTGGGCGATCTCCGCCGCTATTTGTCGCCATGGGGGAGGCGGGTCTTGAGGAAAACGGGTCCAGAGGTTTGCAGCCGTGTTTGGCTTCCTGGAGCCCTCGACGTGTTCCGGGACTGGCAGATTGGTCCTGGGGACATGCCCCGGGGTCCTGGACCCGCCCGTTTCCCTCAGAAGCCGGTCACCCCATGCGGAACCGGGGGGAGGGGGTCCGACGAGGAAAAGGCATCCACAGCGGCACTTGTCCCGCATTTTCGCTTTTTTGGGGCCTCCTGGAAGGTCCTCGTCGCCACCGCCGGGTCCTGTTGGTTTCCCCAGGGGGAGCCGGTCACGTCACGTTTTGCGCCGTCTGGGAATGTCCAGAAGTTACCCCGACACCGACCGCAACTATGAACAGCGCAATTCCTTGATGTCAGGTAAGAGCCATTCTGCTGCAGCATATTAAGGGTCCAACGCCAGAACAATACTACAGCCACAACAGCGATGGGAGCAGCAGCATGAGCAACAGCATAGCAACCACGTGAACAGCAACGGCGACATAATCAGCAGCGACATCAGCAGCTACATCATCAGTAACATTGCAACATCAATGCGAACAACGACTTCACAACCACAAGCAGCAACCACATCAGCGGCAACCTCATCAGCAAAGCCGTGCCAACAATAATGTCAACATTACAGCCATATGATGAGCAGCAACAGCAAGCCAGCAGAGTCTCACACAACGCAATTCTTATGACCAGGTAAGAAAGAACGCCTCATGCTACCCTGAGATCCGAAGTTGCAGAACAGTTGCAACATCGCCAAAAGTCACGAGCGGAGCCCCAGACCTCATCTTCCTGCGCCACTCTTCGAGGCGGATCGAGCTGCGAGGGTCCCGGGGCCCGAGCCTGGGCGAAATCGCACGCTGTGAAAAGACTGCCACGCCAGGATGGCAGGCTCCTCTGGGTGAGTATCGTTTCACCGATCCTCATCCCCAGCGGCGTGGCCTGGGCCCCACTGGCCGACTTACCCGTGACCTTCGGGCTTCGAGCCTGGGCGAAAGCGCCACGCTGTGAAACATTTGCCACGCCAAGGCGTCGGGGAAGGCCCCTCCGGCGAGGGGGTCGCTCCTGCGTGCAGGCAGCTCCCCACGGAGGGCCTCCTCGCCCGACCCGGTCTAGGCCACGCCAGGGAGCGTCACCACTAAGTCACTAAGGTTGGGTCGGGGATGCCCCCTCTGCACGGGGGAAATTCAAACATGGAAATGCAGAAATAGTAAAAAAATAGTCCGGGCGGCGACTTTCGGATTATTGTTTATTCTTCGTCTTGCATCCGCCTGTAGGAGGACGTGCCCGACCTGACCCTGAAGGGGGTGCGGGGGGGGTGGGCGCCGCCTCGAGGGGGGGGGGTCCTCTCGGGGCCCCCAGCCCTGCCAGACAGCCCCGCACCGCCAACGCCGCCTGAAAGCCTGGATCGCCTCTCCAGTGGAGTCACTGCTGCATGAGATTGCGGCATGAGGCCCGAGCAAGGACCCGAAAACCTGACGACCATGACCGCTTGGGGCGCACGAAAAGGGGAGGGATCGGGAAAGGGTCGGCGGCGAGCGAGGGGAGGGAAGTGAGAAGGAAAAGGCCTTCTCAGAAGGCTCGGAAGTCCCCCCGCCTTCTGAGAACTTTCCTATCACAAGCTTCCCCCGAGGACACAGAGAGCCTCCCAGAAGGCCAGAGGGCCTCTGAGAAGTCCCGCCGTTTTCTGAGAAGGCCTTCTGCTTCTCACTTCCCCCCTCGCCCGAGGCCGAAACAAAAGAAGCACGGACAGGAACTTTTGGAGCCCCGCGCGGAGCTCTTGGATTTGCGCTGGGACCCCCCGGCGGCGCCTCCAGCGTCTACCCTGACGCGCTCCCCGCGCCAGGTTCGGCGCGGATCCGAGAACTCCGCGCGGACCGTCGAAAGTTTACAGGCAAGACGCTGAAATAAGGGACAGTTTGGATTCGGAAGGGGCTCGATGTTCCTCACGTCTTTCCGCGGTTGTTCCTCTAGCCCTTCTCGTGCACCCAGGATTTGGAAGCCACAGAGGGGCTTCGTTCCTTACTTAGCGTTCCTTATTTCAGCAGCCCGACTGTATGTCTGTGTCGTTGTTCCTTCCTCTGATTCGGGGGATTGGGAACAGGTGGGTCACGACATTTGCTGCGTGCGGCCGGTTTCCCCTCGCCGCGGGGCGCTCCATGCCCGACGCACCGGCAGGGAGGGGAGGTCCAGCGCGGGTCCAGGCCATCCGCGTGGAGCTCCAACAACTTATGTTCATGCCGTTTTTTGTTGTCCGATGCCCGGTTCTTCGTTTAAACCGTGCGTGTCCCTCTACAGGAGGAACATTCAGAAGCAGTCAAAAAATAGTCTGGGGACGATGTTGTGAGTATTTTTGAGCATGTTCGGGCATTGTTTGGCTACGCTTCACTTGTCGCCCGAAATCCCCCTGTAGGGGGACAGGCCCGGCTCAGCTCTTCTTTGTTCTTCTTGTCTTGGTCGTGGGCGAAGGATTGCAAAAAAACGAGGGATTGCAAAAAAAGGATTGCAAACAAACCTAGGATTGCAAAAAAAACCTCACGCAGGATTGCAAAAAAACCTTTGATTGCAAAAAACCTTCGATGGGTTTTTTTTTGAAAACCTAGAATTGCAATCCTTCGAGCCGAGCGCGCACTCACGGGCAGCGGCAGGGCCGAGCGGGGCCCCGAGCAGAGGGCGAGGGAGCGAGGGCCAGAGGACGGGCGCCACGGTGGAGGGGCAGCGACCCAGTGACGAGCTCGACTCTCGGCTCAAGTCGGGCCTGTCCCTCTACAGGAGGAGTATTTCAAAATTGTTGTTGTCTATACATAGATTGAAAGATGACGGTGTTTTTTTTGTTTTGCATGTTTTTATCTACTTTTGAATATTGTTAGGTATGTTTGATTTGTCGTCCAAGATCCGCCTGTAGGGGGAACTGCCCGACCTAATTCTCGGCTCGCACACCTCGACCACTCGCGGAGGCGCTGGCGACCCCCGAGCGATGACAAGAAAGTGGTCTCACGCAAGATGACATAGCGAATAGCTCCCCTGCGCCAAGGCTTACGCGGGCCTCCAGCGTGGCACATTGAGCGGATAAGAGGGCCTCCAAAGGCTTACATACGCCATCCCGCCGACTCCAGAAGAGGAGATGTGCGGCTTTCAGTGCTGTGTGTTGTGCGATGTTTGACACGTCCCGTCGTGCTGCTTGCCTGTGGGTGTTGCTGATGCCTCCTCGTCTTCCTCCGCGTCCGTTGCGGGGCTTCTTGGCGGCCCCTTGGAGGCCTAGGGGGCGGCCTCTTGGAGGCCTACGGGGCGGCCTTTTGGAGCTTGTTGATGGCTTTTGGTTGCTTTTTGATGCGCGCTGGGCGCTTATTGGGGGCCTCTGGGGAGCATGTCGGGGTCTCGGGGGCCATCTTGCGGCCGAGGGGCTCCTGGAGTCTTCATCGCATCGCAGAGACAGCGCCTGGCGACACTTCTGCCTCCTTCCTCCTCCCGCTCCTCCCTCCTCACACGCCTGCCCCTGCCCTCCGCTTGACTCTGCTTCGGCACACACGCGCACACACACACACACACACACACACACACACACACACACACACACACACGTTTCGTGGCCCCACAGCGTGCTCCACCGAAAGGCCCCAGTGGCAGGGTCCGCGCGCGTCCCCCGTCCATTTCGGTACACCCCTCACACGTCTCGTGGCCCCCTAGGGTGCTCCACCGAAGGCCCCAGTGGCAGGGCCCGCATGCGTCCCCACTCCCGCCCATTTCGGCACACCCCTCACATGTTTCGTGGCCCCACAGGGAGCTCCACCCAAGGCCCCAGTGGCAGGTCCGCATGCCCGCGTGCGTCCGGCTGCCCATTCCTGCACACCACACGCTTCATGGCCCCAAAGGTAGGTGAAGGCCCCGGTGGCAGGGTCCGTATACGTCCTCCCGCCCATTTCGGCACACTCCTCGCGCGTGCCTTGGCCAACACAGAGCTCCACCAAAGGCCCTCTTGGCAGGGTTCGCACGGCGCCGCCTTCGCCAGGACATGCGCCCCAGTCCGACCTCCTGTTCGTCGCCACCCTTTTTGTCGACTGCCGCGCGGCACTCGCAGCTGCATGTGGTTGGGCCCCTCGCCTGGATACTTAAGCGATTTTCGCGATCTCGCCTTTGCGGGCCTCTGCCAGCCCAAAGCGACGCGAGATGCCCCCCAGCCTGGCCCAAGAACGACACCAAGAATCGGGCCGAACGACAGGGGGGGATAGGGAAAGGGGGGGTTACGAAATCTGCCGCATGCAGCTGGTTGCGGCCCCGCCGCCGGGCCCGTTCCTCGATACATAGGCGCTGGGCGCTCGGAAAATCAGCTACGTGAGCTGATTCTCTACCCTGCTCTTTGCTATCCCCCCCCTTTTCTCTCCCCCCGAAAGAACGCCTCGAGGCGGCCCAAGAACGCTCTGAGACGGACCAAGGGGCCCGCAAGACGGCAGCCATCAGCGTGGCGAAAGACCTGACCATATGCAGTTGTGAGTAACGCTTTCGATGGAATTCAGTACGGGGCCACGATCCTTGTGAGGGCTGTTCCGACATGGGCGGGGGGGGGCGCATGCGGACCTTGCCCGAGGGGCCTTGGGTGGACCTCTTTGTGAGGCCGCGAAACGTGTGAGTGGTGCGCCGACATGGGCGGGAGGACGCGTGCGGAACCTACCACAAGAGCCGTTGGTGGAGCACCCTAGGGGGCCACGAAAAGTGTGAGGGCTGTGCCGACATGGGCGGGGGGACACATGCAGACCTTGCCATTGGGGCCTTTCGGTGGAGCTCCCTGGGGGGCCACGACATGTCTGAGGGGTGTGCCGAAATGGGCGGGGGGACGCATGCGCACTCTGCCATTGGAGCCTGCGGTGGGGCTCCTTGTGGGGCCGTGAAACGTGTGAGGGGTGTGCTGACGTGTTCCTCGTCCCGTAGCCGTTTTGGCAGATGCTAGTCATTTCTCAGCATTGGTTCGGACTTTGCACGCGCTGTGTTTTTGTCCAGCCTCTTTTCGGAAACTGGCCAGCACGTGGGTATGTCATGGTGGGCAGCACTCGCTTATCTGTCAAGTCTGGTCAGTCCGAGCTGTGCAGTGTGCGAGATCAACACAGGCGGGAGCTGCAACGTGTCTCCCTGCAAGTGGTGGCGCAAGGCACAGTGCACAATCGTCGGCGAGGACCCGAACGCCGAGGATTTCAGTTTCCGCATATTCAAGTACAGCAAGAACTGCACCTGCCCTGAGGGAACATGCGCCAAGGGCCCGTTCGGCGAGTGCGTGAAAACGGGCTCATGCCCAAGATACACGGGCCAGTCGTGCGCGGTCTGCCTGGCCACTGGTCTGTGGTGCTGCGGCGACGGGCAACACTGCTCCAGCGCCGGGGCATGCCAGTGCAAGCCCGGGTCTTGCTTCGATGGGACGGCTTGTGTGCGAGGCCACGACGAGGACCTTGCCGCCATGGCTGGAGAGGACGGCGGAGATACACTAGGCGCGCTCGCCCCTGCGGTGCTGGGTGCACTGGCGGTGTCGGCGATCGGTGCCAGTCGGAGGTGCCTGGCGGGCCTCGAGGCCTCTGGCCAGCCCCGGCTGAGCAGCCCGCTGCTCGGCGAGTCCTGACGAGCTGGAAGGCAGCACCGTGCGCCGAGGTCGTATTGCTGCTTGGGTGGAGGTCGAAAACGGGCCACCACGTGCTGCACCCGATCGTCTCTTGATGTGCACGGACCGCCATCATGTTTCCTACAGTTCGGCGGGCACCTGACCAATATATGATGGGACGCAGTTGCACTTGCGGGGGGGCATCATAAGTCCGTTCGAATTAGCTGTAGGCGAAAAAGGTGATTGGAAATAGCAGCGCAAAAGCAGTATCACCTTGGATCCCGTTCTCTTCTGCCGCGCCTTCTCTTTTGCATGTTATTTCGCTTCCTCCACCTCGGTCTCATGTTCCTCCTCGCAGCCTTTGGCCGCTTAGCCTCTCCTCTTTCTGTTTCTCATGTGTTTGCTTTCGTGTGTATGCGATCCCTCCGGATCTCCGACGTTGGATCTGACTACCCAGGCTATGTCGCGTCCCGTCACAGAAACCCAGACGCACAGTCGTGACACAAAACTAGAAGACACCGTCAGCGCAACGTAGGGCTCAGTCCAAGCAGGCATCCGAGGTAGTGCTTAGTTGCGCTTAAACTCGCTCGTAGATTCGTCGTTGTTTCGCATAGCTAGACTTACCTTGCCGTGTCGTAGGATAATTGCAGCTTGATATGGCTTCGCTTGTGGAAGGCTAGCGTTGCACAATATGGAATCGCGGAGCTGAGCTGCGTTTCGCTTCTCTAAGCGCGGCTCATCTATGCCACCTTGTCATCGTCCTCCACATGTTGCTCCTCGTGGTCTTCCTCGGCAGGGTCATCTCGTCATAGCATTTCCTCCTCGTCATCCCTGTCCTCCTCGTTTATTACTCAGGCTGCGCGGGAGAGGCCTCCGCATGTGTCCGCGTGCAGACTGATGCAGGATTGGGCTTCTTACCCGCCGCTGAACGCAGCGTCGCTGCTGCCAGCATGAACGAAGCTCCGGGTCGGGCAATCGAGCAGTTGCAGCAGGGGCTGGCGGGTTCCTGGGGGGCAGACGCTGCAGCTTATGTGAACCTCGTGGGCGCGTCGTCGAGCGTCGGGGGGCGGCGCTGTTTGCTGGCGCCGTCTGCCGGCGTTGGCCGTGGTTTGCCGTGCCCGCCCAAGGTTCGTTGCGCGGCAGGTTCGCGCGGCTCGAGTGTTCGTGGGATGTATGCAGGTAGGAGCTCGCGTCAGGTCTCAGGCTGGGTCTCGGCACTTTCGTGCTGGCCCCGTCGAGCCCACCCGAGCCTCCCGAAGCCGAGTCTTACGTTTCCCCGGAGGGTGCCCCCAGTTTGTCGCCCCCTGCTGGAGCCCCTGGGGCCCCCTGGGCCTCATGAAGGGTGCTCAGGGGCCGCGTGGGCATCCTTGGAGATCCTTTGTCGCTCCCCTCTGGAGCCCCTGGGGCCCTCTGAGCCTCGTAAGGGATGCTCTGGGGGCCGCGTGGGCCCCCCTGGAGATCCTGGTGGCACCCTCAGGCTACGTCGCCTCCTCTTCATCCTCTTCCTCCTCGCCTCCTCCGCCTCCTCCTCCCCCTCCTCCTCCTCCTCCTCCTCCTTCTCCTCCTCCGCGTCCTCCTTTTCCTCCTCCTCCTCCTCCTCCTCCTCCTCCTCCTCCTCCTCCTCCATGCCCTCCTTCTCCTCCACCTCCTCCTCCTCCTTGTCCTCCTCCACCTACACCTTCTCCTTGTCCTCCGTTCGCTCCCTTCCGGAGCCCCATGGGGCCCTCTGGGCCTCACGAGGGGCGCTCCGGCGGCCGCGGGCGGCCTCCCTGGAGATCTGGGCCAGGGGCATTTTGGCAGCAGCGCCCGAGAGGGGGGACAGTGCAGCGGAGGGCCCTTCCTCCTCGCTTTCCTCATACTCGTTTTCTTCCTCCTCCTCCTCCTCCTCCTCCTCCTCCTCCTCCATCTCTCATCATTTCATCATCATCATCATCATCATCATCATCATCATCATCATCATCATCATCATCATCATCATCATCATCATCCATCATCATCCTTTCCTCCTCTCCTCCTCCTATCCTCCTCCTCCTCCTCCTCTCTATCCTCCTCCTCCTCCTCCTCCTCCTCCCCTCCTCCTTCCCCTCGTCCTCTTCTTGACTCGCCCTCAGGCTACGTCGGATCCTCCTCCTCCCTCCTCTCCTCCTCCTCCTCCTCCTCCTCCTCCCTCCTCCTCCTGCTTACGCTTGGCCTTTTTTTCCCAACCATCCTGTGGTGTTGGGTCCTCGTTTTGAAGAAACAGTCCCCGCGTCTCCTCTCCTCTCCTCTCCTCTCCTCCTCTCCTCCTCCTCCTCCTCCCTCCTCCCCCTCTTCCCTGCGTTTCACCCACCCAGTACAGCGTTTCGTAGCCCCATAGGAGCTCCACCGAAGGCCCCAGTACCCGCGCCCGCATGCGTCACCACACCCAATTCGGCACACCCCTCACACGTTTCGTGGCTCCATAGGGAGCTCCACCGAAAGCCCCAGTGCCCGCGCCCGCATGCGTCACCCACACCCATTTCGGCACACCCCTCACACGTTTCGTGGCTCCATAGGGAGCTCCACCGAAGGCCCCAGTGCCCGCGCCCGCATGCGTCACCCACCCCATTTCGGCACACCCCTCACACGTTTCGTGGCTCCATAGGGAGCTCCACCGAAGGCCCCAGTGCCCGCGCCCGCATGCGTCACCCACACCCATTTCGGCACACCCCTCACACGCTTCGTGGCTCCATAGGGACTCCGCCGAAGGCCCCAGTGCCCGCGCCCGCATCGTCAGCCACCCATTCGGCACACCCCTCACACGTTTCGTGGCTCCATAGGGAGCTCCACCGAAGGCCCCAGTGCCCGCGGCCGCATGCGTCACCCACACCCATTTCGGCACACCCCTCACACGCTGCGGGCTCCATAGGGGTCCACCTGGCCCAGTGCCCGCGCCCCGCAATGGCGTCGGCACACCCCTCACACGCTTCGGGTTCCATAGGGAGCTCCACCGAAGGCCCCAGTGCCCGCGCCCGCATGCGTCACCCACACCCATTTCGGCACACCCCTCACACGTTTCGTGGCTCCATAGGGAGCTCCACCGAAGGCCCCAGTGCCCGCGCCCGCATGCGTCACCCACACCCATTTCGGCACACCCCTCACACGCTTCGTGGCTGCATAGGGAGCTCCACCGAAGGCCCAGTGCCCGCGCCCGCATGCGTCACCCACACCCATTTCGGCACACCCCTCACACGTTTCGTGGCTCCATAGGGAGCTCCACCGAAGGCCCCAGTGCCCGCGCCCGCATGCGTCAGCCACACCCATTTCGGCACACCCCTCACACGCTTCGTGCTCCATAGGGAGCTCCACCGAAGGCCCCAGTGCCGCGCCCGCATGAGTCACCCACACCCATTTCGGCACACCCCTCACACGTCGTGGCTCCATAGGGAGCTCCACCGAAGGCCCCAGTGCCCGGCCCGCATGCGGCCACACCCATTTCGGACGCGTTTCGTGGCCCCATAGGGCTCCCCGAAGGCCCCAGTGCCCGCGCCCGCATGCGTTAGCCACACCCATTTCGGCACGCCCCTCACGCGTTCCGTGGCCCCATAGGGAGCTCCGCCGAAGGTCCCGGTGGGTGTGCCCGCATGCGTCACCCACCCCCATTTCGGCACACCCCTCGGCCCCAGTGCCCGCGCCCGCATGCGTCAACCACACCCATTTCGGCACACCCCTCAAACGTTTCGTGGTCCCATGGGGAGCTCCACCGAAGGCCCCAGTGCCCGCGCCCGCATGCGTCAGCCACACCTATTTCGCCAACTCCCTCACACGTTTCGTGGCCGCATAGGGAGTTCCACCGAAGGCCCTAGTGGGTGTGCCCGCATGCGTCCCGCACACCCATTTCGGCACACCCCTCGTACGTTTCGTGGCCCCGTAGGGGGCTCCACCGAGAAGATATTCACAATTGCAGTATTCACGATTGCATATGGTTGGGTCCTTCGCCAGGATAATTTTCAACCGTCGCTACCACCAAATCACGCCGACCAACTGACGCATCAGCGAATGCTATCCTCCCAAGAACAATGAGGATCATGAGCCGAAGGGACGAAGGTCACTCTACATACTACGAGTACTGGGCAAGGGGTTCTTCGCCACCTGTATCTCAGGTATCTCAGCACGACGCCCAGGACCACGACCACCAGAGCATCACGGCTACGCACAAGGCCGACGACGCGAGATGGCCATCCTTTCCTCCATGGCAATGGCGCGCCGACTACGACACACACAATGCAGCTACGTCGGCAGCTTCAAGAACATGGCCAACGCATTCCCATCAGTTGGCTGGGCCTACGTGGAACAGGCGGCTCACGACTTGGTGCGACCACGGGACCTCCGACTGGCTTTACAACGCATACGACGTGCGCAGGTCTATCCACCAGTAGCAGAAGGTACACTCCACTTTCGACCGACAGAGGGAGGCCTCACGGGGGATCCGTTCATGGTACTCTGCTTTCCTCGAGCCTTCGCCCACGCCATCGAGCCATGGACACGACAACGTCTTTGCCTCCCTGGCCAGGATCGCCATGCGCGGCAGGGCATGCACTCGGAATGAAGACTGATCGGTCAGGTCACTAACGGATCATGAAGTATTAGCTCATTCGCGCATCGCTCACAGCAGTGCTGAACTGCGAGTTCGACGGCTGAGTTGGCTCCAGCAGGCAGCAGAGGACCGGAACACGCACGAGCAGCTCCTTGCTTTTCCCTTCGGCACGATCAGTGGGCAGCCGCAGAGGACAGCCGCAGACGACGACAGTTTGAATGCTTGCGCCAACCCGTGGGCCGAACGCGCTCAGCTCGATCTGGACTTTCTGATAGAGCACTCGGAGGAAACACTGTCTGTTTTTCCCAACCATCCTGTGGTGTTGGGTCCTCGTTTTGAAGAGACGGTGCCCCGCGTTCCTCTCCTCTCCTCTCCTCTCCTCTCCTCTCCTCTCCTCTCCTCTCCTCGTCTCCTCTCCTCGTGCTCCCCCTCCTCCTCCTCCCCCTCTTCCCTGCGTTTCACCCACCCATTACAGCGTTTCGTAGCCCCATAGGAGCTCCACCGAAGGCCCCAGTGCCCGCGCCCGCATGCGTCACCCACACCCATTTCGGCACACCCCTCACACGGTTCGTGGCCCTGGATCTCCACCGAAGGCCCCGTGCCCGCGCCCGCATGCGTCAACCCACTACCCATTTCGGCACACCCCTTACCTTTCGTGCTCCATAGGGAAGCTCCAACCGAAGGCCCCAGTGCCCGCCGCTCCGCAATGCGTCCCCACACCCATTTCGGGCACACACCCTCAAACGTTCGTTGGCTCATAGGGAGCTCACGAAGGCCCCATTGCCCGCCCCGCTTCGTCCAACCCACACCATTTCGGCACACACCCCCTCACGTTTCTCGTGCTCCATAGGGACCCACCGAAGCCCCAGTGCCCGCGCCCGCTGCGTCACCCACCCCATTTCGCTACAAACCCCTCAACACGCTTCGTGGGCTCCTAGGGAGCTCCA